GGGTGGGTGGGTTAGGAAGAGTTTAATCAGTGTACATTATGACATATGCTGGGTGGAAAGTTAGAAACAGGATTTTGCCCAATATACATCAAGTTAGTCCTATTTCCTTTGAACTGTATGTATCTCTTGAGTATAAGTTTAACTAAAATCATTGGAAGTAAAAAATTCTGTGCAGAAACAATCAGAGAAGCAGTTAAAACTTCTCTCATCTTCCACTAAAAGCCAAGGTACTAACGTTCTAAATAAACAAGAAAATGTATTTATCTGATGATAAGATACTATCAGTAGGATAGATATGTCAGTCTAAATGGGAACTGAGCTTTTGTTCTACTTAGTTCTTTGCCATAAAATGTAGGAAGCTCTTAGCTGTCTGAGAGCCTGCTTTTTATGGGTCAATATCTTCTATTTTAAAAAAAGGTCCTTCTTTTATGGGACAAATATAAGGAAAATAGAATCATAGAATAATGGAGTTGAAATAGACCTATAAGACCATTGAATCCAGTTATGTGCTCAGTGCAGAAATCCAAATGAAAATATGTCTGACAGATGCTTGTCTAATTTTTTCTTGAGTGCCTCCGGTTTTGGAGCTCTCACCGTCTCCTAAGCTAATTGGTTCCGTTGTCGTACTGCTCTAACAGTTAGGAAGTTTTTTCCTGGTAATCAACTGAAGTCTGACTTGCTGTAACTTGAGCCTATTATTGTCTGTCCAGCACTCTGGAAAAATTGAGAACAGATTGAGAACAGATCCTGCCCCTTGTCTGTATGGCAGTCTTTGAAGTATTTGTAAAGTGCTATCATATCTGCCATCAGTCTTCTCTTCTCAAGGCTAAACATTCCCAGTTCTTTCAGTCTTTCCTCATAGGGCCTGGTTTCCAGTCTCCTGAGCATCCTTGCTGCCTTCCTCTGAATTTGTTTCAATTTGTTGGCATCCTTTTTCAAGTGTGGTGAGGAGAAATGGAGACAGTACTCTAGATGAGGCCTAACCAGTGTCGAATGGGGGTGGGGACCTAGTAATCATGGGATTGTAAGACTATACAGCCTTTTTCAAGTGTGGTGAGGAGAAATGGAGACAGTACTCTAGATGAGGCCTAACCAGTGCCGAATGGGGGTGGGGACCTAGTAATTCATGGGATTGTAAGACTATATATTGTTAATGCAACCAAAATAGTGTTTGCCTTTTTTTACAGCCACATTGTACTGTTGGCTCATATTCAGCTTTTGATCTACAACAATTCTAAGATCTTTCTCATATATAGTTTTGCTGAGCCAAGTATCTCCCATCTTGTTATTGTTCATTTGGTTTCCCCCCCTAAGTACTGTTGGCTCATATTCAGCTTTTGATCTACAACAATTCTAAGATCTTTCTCACATATAGTTTTGCTGAGCCAAGCATCTCCCATCTTGTTATTGTGCATTTGGTTTTTTCCCCCCTAGGTGTTGAACTTTGCCACTTATCCCTGTTAAATTTCATTCTGTTGCTTTCAGCCCAGTGCTCAAACCTATCTAGATCTTTTTGAATTTTGTTCCTGTCTTCCACCCAACTTTGTGCCATCTGCAAATCTGATAAATGTTCCTTGCACCTCTCATCCAAGTAATTAACTGGGCCCAGGACTAAGCCTTGTGTTAGCCAACTTTTTAGCTCCTCCCAGTTTGAGAAGGAGCCATTGACAAAACAGTCCCTGAGTACAATTCTATAACCAACAGTGTATCCACCAGACACGGGTGCTGTCCAGGCCACACCTAGTTAGCTTGCTAATCGGAATACAATGCAGCACTTTTGTCAAGGTGTTTGTTGAAGTCAAGATATATTACATTTACAACATTCCATCAACTGAATTGTTTTTTCTGTCAAGAATTTGACTCCTTTCAAGGGGTATCCACCAGACACGGGTGCTATCCAGGCACCTTGAATTTGACTTCTTTCAAGGAATGTACACCAGTAGCCCCCTTTTCGAGTGGTAGTTTATAAAATAGTTATTCTTCCAGTTAAGTGGTTTGCAAATTTAAAATGGCCTGGCAGAGCTGGATTTACCAAAATAATCCAGATGCAGACTACACGTGGATTGTTGTCCTTGAAATTCTTAAAGCAATATCAAATGTCTCACCTAATAAAGTACTTTTTTCTGGTGGTGCCAGCATTTCCCTTAGCAAAATACTGCAGGATTACTAAGTTTAGACTACACGTGGATTGTTGTTCTTGAAATTCTTAAAGCAGTATCAAATGTCTCACCTAATAAAGTACTTTTTTTTTCTGATGGTGCCAGCATTTCCCTTAGCAAAATATTGCAGGATATTGTTACTAAGTTTCTGCCCAGCAGTTCTGTACTTCTCTTATTCTTCATGACCTAAAGCTGAGCCTTCTTTACACAATGTGCTTTGTATAAAAGCCAGATACATTTGCAAAATTTTAAAGACCAAGTCTGAGAGCTTCCTTCTTTTTTAAAAAGCAGATTTTTTACTTTTGAAAAGGTTGAACATAGTTCTTCATTTATATGACCTGCCTTCCCAGCCTATTAGCTGTGTCTCAGGATTCACGTAAAGATGCTACAGTACTCCAGTGGACACGACAAGGCAGCAATCCATGAAGAAGACTCCAGTGGCTACTGCCAGATAAAACTTGAAGATAATGTATTGGCTTATGTGGGACTCACCTCACTATTTTTAGGATTTGTTTATTCCATACTTGTATTACAGGGTGTTTCATCGCATCTTCTTTTCTAATGATGCAATTATCAAATCAGTGCGTCTCTGTAGGATTTTGTCCGCTAGAAGCTTCCAACTTCTCAAAGTGGCTACATAAGATTACTGGAAGGAGTCTGCTATAATATCTTTAACCACCTGTAGTGTGTGCAGCCAAGCTGCTCAAAAAACACAAATTGCTGGAGTGGAGATACTAATCAAACACTGGAAATTCTCAGTGATTCTGCGAAACTAGGAATGATAATAAATCTGAATCGTTTGATATAGAGCAATGATGTTCTCTGATGTATTTGATATATGTGGTGCCATTGAGTTTAATGCCCTTGAATGGGTTTGAGTGGCCATCGGCAAATCTCATAATCAAGCAATTTATGTAAACAGAGAGTTTCCATTTTCTGTGGATTTGGGTAGTTTTAGTTTAGCTACATTTTTCTTACGAGACTTGTAGAAGTTATTTTTAAGGGATTCAGTGAGGATCTGCTTCTGGTGCACTGTGATGTTTCTTATCCAGCTTGATCTTGAACAGCAGAGGGACTAATGGGTGAGAGACCCTCCCTTTAAACTAGAAGAGTGAACTAGAAGATTACCTGTTTTCTGTCCCAGTTTTTGCTCTTATATCTTTTGCCTTTGTTTTGGGTGTAGAAAGAAATTTTAGTTTTTTTTTAAATTCCCATTTGATTCAGCAGGTTTGCTGTCGTTACATCTAGCAATTGGATTTAAGCCCCAGTTTTTGTTTTCCACAAACCAAAAAGGATTTCTTATTTATGTTTTCACTTTGTTATACATGTAGAAACAGACTAATGGGGATTACTTTTATGAATCCTGTTCTCCATGCTAATCATGACAAGAACGAACATGTACTATGAGTTGTTTCTAATAATCATTTGCTCAGTTATGAGAAATCTGCAGCTGCTTTCTATGATTATGTGGTTCTAGTGACTGGATGGTTGTGTTAGTATATCGAAGAGTAGCAATTTGAGGGTTCTAGTGACTGGATGGTTGTGTTAGTAAATCAAAGAGTAGCAATTTGAGTATCTTCCTCCATGGCCCCTGAGCAGCCAGGTAATATGTCCAGATAGGCGGGATAGAAAATAAATAAATAAATAAATCTTCCTCCATGGCCCCTGAGCAGCCAGATGTGTGCTGCAGCAGCTTGCATATAACCACCATGGTGGGAGAAACAGGTCTTCACACTATTAACTCTGCTGAGAGAGGAGAGGATTTGAAAAGCCACACAGTTGTAAGCTGGCCATTTTAAATCCCATTCACTTGAAGCCTAAAGGATATAGGCTGGTCATTGTGCATAACCTCTTGTTGTGGCTGCACAACAAATACAGTGACTTCTCACATGGGAGAGACTTCATGTGGTTTTAATCTCAATTTGCAAATACAGTGACTTCTCACATGGGAGAGACTTCATGTTTTAATCTCAATTTTCCATCCACTTGAAAGAACCTAATTATGTGTATCTAAGCAAGACCACTAAAGAGCCTTTATCATTTTTTATTATTTTTATTGTTTTAATTACTGTCTTTGTTTTAATGTTTCATTCTGCTATACACAGATACAGTGGTGCCTCGCTTAACGGCGATAATCCGTTCCAGGAAAATTGCCATTAAGTGAAAACATTGTAAAGCAAAAATAAAAAGCCCATTGTAACGCATTGAAAACCTTTCAATGCGTTTCAATGGGCTTAAAACTCACCGTCCAGCGAAGATCCTTCATATGGCGGCCATTTTCGCTGCCTGTATAGCGAGGAATCCGTCCCTAAACACAGCGGGGAGCCATTTTAGTTACCTGGTGGCAATTTGGAAACTGCCAATCAACTGTTTAAAAATCATCGTTATGCGATGAATCGGTTCCCGAAGCAGGAAATCGATCATTGCAAAGTGAAATTCCCCCATTTAGACCATCGTTTTGCGATCGCAAAAAGATCGTGGTAAAGCGGATTCGTCATAATGCGGGGCAATCGTAAAGCGAGCCACCACTGTACAGCATATATATTTAATAAAGTCTGTTGCAGTGGACTGGGTTTCTGGTTTCTGGGAGAAATATGTGATGGAAATTAAACATACATGCATACATACATACATGAATGTTTGGTGGTGCTTCTGTTGGTGATGTTAACATAACATTGTTCGAAGAAATATTTTAAACTTGCACCTCTTGCTGCATTCAGCCCTGAGAACTTGATCCAGATGCAGCATGTGTTAGGACTGAACTACAAAAACATCATTTTAAAATAAATAATGGTAATCTGCTGAGTATACTTTGATATAATTTTGGTTTTGCTCCCTTAGGGCTACCAAGGAACAGCAGGAACTCCAGGTATTCCAGGCTCCCCAGGGATTCAAGTAAGTTCCTCATGCCCCTTCGTTGTCAAGAAGGTCTGAGGTTAAATCCTCATGCAGTGATTATCCTAAGTGTAAATTAAAGGGGAATTCATTGAAGAGCTAATAAAAGTTACTAATACATGTTACTTCTTTGTTAGGGACCACGTGGGCTTCCAGGCATGAAGGGTGAACCTGGGCCAGATGGGAAAAAGGTAAGATTACTTCTAATAACTCTAGTGCCTATTTTTAACTACAAACTTATATACAGGCATTCTAAATGTTCCCAAGCTCTTTCAGACAGTTAGAAATTTCTCATGCTATTCTATTACTTTAAAATTCTTGATGGTTGTTCAGTTTTAGTAGGAGGTACTGCAATAATGACTCCTTTTGGAGTGTTTTTCAGAGAATACGGAAAAAGCCGTGACACCTAGCATTGGCATTTATTGGTTTTATATTGATTTCTAGTATTTTTGCTGAAGTAAATTAAGCTGTCTTGCTCAAATAGGTCATGATGATCTTCCAAATAAATCATAAAGGGGTGTGTGTGTGTGTGGAATTTAACATCTGGTAGTAACAATAAATAGTAGAGAAGCCAAATCATAAACAAAGAGAGCTACCCCCCCCCCGTCTTTACCCACAACCCTATAGAGACGTGTACTAATATACAGTAGTTGCTTTGTCAGTGCTTTTCATCCATAATGAATGATTCTTCAAGATGACTGGCAGGAGCCCAGAATGTGACAGTGTTCCCCAAGGCAGAAATTTTGGGTGGTACCAGCAGAGAGAAGGACAACCTAAATCCTAAATAGTTCTGCCCTTGATTCTTCTGCGTACTCCAGATAGTTCCTTCCTGGCTGAATTCAAATTGTAGAGAATCATCCCTGGCAAATATCTGAGCCCATGTCGATTTTCTACTTGTTTCCTCTAACCCGAGTATCCCTAGTGATTGTTCTTCAGTTCTTAAGTCTGAATGGCTAGTGCTTTGTTCAGGATAATACGTGATGACCAGATAAGGAATGTAGGGAAGCTGTGCTCAACTATTTTGGGGCATATGCGAGAGCTGAAGGAGAGCATTGACAGGAGAATGTGATTGTCAATATTATGAAGGAAGCAGGCCATATGGAACACAGAAATTCCTTTTGCTCAAAAGGTGGTGCCTATTTTCCTATTCTTTTGTTCTGTTGATGTATATTTATATACCACCTCATAATACCACATTTTTTCTTCTTTTTGTAGGGTGAACGTGGACTTCCTGGTTTCCCCGGATTACATGGGATGCCAGCATCTAAGGTTCAAACCAAATGCTTCTTGTAACAATGGGTAGGATGATAAAAAGAAAGAATCAAGGAATTTTCAGGAGCAAAAGTAGTACAGTGGTGCTTCGCATAACGAGCGCACCGTTTAACGACGAATCCGCATTGCGACGCTTTTTTTGCGTTCCTATGGAGTCCATCTAAGGTTCAAACCAAATGCTTCTTGTAACAATGGGTAGGATGATAAAAAAAAAAAGAATCAAGGAATTTTCAGGAGGAAAAGTAGTAGTTAGTATTTCCAGATGCTTCTGTTTTCAGGAAACTTTGGGTTGAAATACTGTCAAATAGGCTCAAGTTGCAGCCTTTCATGGTGTGACCATTTTCTATTTATCTAGTTCTGGAGTTAGTATTGTATGTGTTGTTAAAGAGGCTGTGATTCAGTGATGAGTGGAACCTTGTCCAATGTAGCCCTTATTCTGATTGTAGAAACTGCTCTGCTCTATTTATAACCCAGACTATCTGGAAGAGCTTTTGGCATCTGCTGTATTGCCTAACATCAGTGCAAAATTTTTCTTGGGTAAAATCATTGTCTGCAGTTATTTAGTATTTCAGAGAGCCTACTACATGTATTTTCTTTGTATTTAACCCTTTCATATTGTTTTTGCTATAAACTAGTACCAATGGATGCTCATACAGTGGAGGCACATGAGTTGTCATTCTTTTGTACTTGGTTGGCAACACCTTGTGTTTGAACTGCTAAAGAAATAGCTGTTTTAGGCCTTGATCACATGAGCCAAATGTTCCCCAGTTCTAATGATACATTTCATAACCTCTGTTGTGCTTAATCTCGGTCACATGGTATATATACTGAGGTGAATGCTCCCATTTGTTTTACCATTATCGATTTATTTCTTCCTATTTGAAACGTCATGGTTGGCTACATCGTGGAACCAATTTATTTCCTCTCAGGTTTCCTGAGGCTGTGTAGCCCCTTTATAGTTGTAGAAATATGTCATAGAGGTTATTTTATGGCTAAAGCACCTAATGCTTGCACCCTATGGCTTGGCTTGATTTTTTGAGCCCTTTGCTCCATTGGTTGCTTCCTGTTGTCTTTAGCTGTAGTCTGGATTGGCTTTATAAGGAGCTGAGGTATTAGCAGCCTTACCTTCCATGATGAAGTGCTTACAGCACCCATCCTCCCATATTACTCCTCCTCCAGGGCCCATTCCTGCCCCACAGTTTCCCCATGTGGGATCGCTCTGAGGCTCCTCCATATGGCTTCCATTATCTCATGGCTCCCTCCCTCCTTCCGTGGCCAAAGACCGGGTGTACCCACTGCTGGCGCTTCTTCAAGGTGGTGCCTTGATCCTGGATGCTCTCCCTTCTCCATTTCCCCTGGTGTGATTGACGTTCACACATGCAATGTCAGCAAGGAATGCTTTGACACACACTGGAACAAAATAACACAACCCTCCTGGCGAGGGATAAAGAAAATCAGGTACACTGCTGGATAAGAAAATGATTCAATAATGGCCATGTTTGTGTGACCAGAAATTTATGCAAGTCAGGGATAAGTAGGGTACATTTGCCAGGTGTGATCAGGCCCTTAGTCGATTTCTTCAAGAAGAAGAAGAAGAAGAAGAAGAAGAAGAAGAAGAAGAAGAAGAAGAAGAAGAAGAAGATGGGGGAAACAGTGGACACTGTGACACTTTGAAGACTAACCATTTTATTTCAGTGTGAGCTTTCATGGATCAAAGTCCACAAAAAAGTTTGTGTGTTTGAGGAAGTGGATTGGGATCCACAAAAAGCTTGCACTGAAATAAAATCCTATGTGCCGTCAAATCAGAACTAACTTATAAAGACTCCTAATAGGATTTTAAAGATAAATAAGATATTTAAGGAATAATTTTACCAGATCTATCCCACAGTGGGTTTCCATGGCATAGCCAGGGAATTGAACCCAGGACTCCTGAATCCTAGCCTCTCTCCACTACACAATTCTGAAATAAAATAAAATAGTCTTTGGAGTGCTACATTATTTTGTTTTTGTTTTTTCATCTCCCCTCCCACTTTGTTTTGCCAGCATGCTTATGTCTGCATAATGATTCGGGGCTCTTATAAGTGAAGTCAGGGATGCGTTTTAAAGGGTGATGGAGGTGGCCTGCAGAAATATTTGGAGCAGTCTGAGGCGTCTCTATCTGGGAAAGAGAATATTTATTAACAGAGATGTTGGCAAGTCTTTGGGTCTGAGTCCCAAGTCCGAGTTTTGAGTCTTTGGTACCAAGTCCTGAGTCTCAAGCCCCAAGTCGGTGTCCCTATTAAAAACAGGCTCTATTTTTCCCCAGAAAAAGGGAGGGGTGGGTGAGTTCCAAGTCACAAGTTGAGTCCAATGCTTAAGAAAAACACACCCTGAGTCAAGTCCGAGTCAAGTCACCGGGTTTGACTTAAGTCCAACTTGAATCGAGTCCCCATCCCTGAATATTAATCTCATGTATCCATACCAAAAAATGTGACCAAGCCACTTAAACTGTTACCTCTGCTATCATCTTCGATATGATATGTTTAGATAATTTTTACAATAGTTTTCATTTTCTTTTAATTCAGTACTTCCTTTAATACAATAACTTATTTAACTAGAGTATGTTTTAACAGGAGTGCTCAGGATCCTGGCAGGGCATTGCTCTATTAATGAGGTGCCAGTCTTGTTCCTGGTTGTGTGCCCATTGTGTGACCTGCATGGGCAACCAGGAATAGAAACAGGACCTTGTTAATGAGTGGCCATTCAGTGTTGTGTCTTACATGATTTCATAGGATTCTGCCCATTCTATTTTCAACTGCTATCTGTTTTTGATTCTGTATTGTGGACTACCTGGATCCTGCAGGAGAGAAAGGCAGCATTATTAAATAAGGCAGTGTAATTAAATAAGCCAACAAATTAATGTGTTTAACATGCTATGTTCTGAACTATGGGACTTGTTTTCTTAAATACATATGTCAAATTGATCTCCGCATGTATGTTTTTATTAAGGGTGACAGAGGGCCTAAAGGTGATCCAGGTCCACCAGGAATTTATGGTAAAAAGGTACGTTTAAAACTGCTACCGGAGCAAGATGTTTTTATTCCTAGTTGGAGGCAAAATGAACTGCAGCGCTATAAATAAATTGTGCTTGATATCAAATATCAAATCTTGCAGTCAGACATGAAGTCAAGTGCAACCCATACTTTCTCCTTCTTTTTCTTCTTTTGGTGGGAACAAAGAAAACATGTTGGGATTAGAGGACTAGCTCTGAGATGGAGTGAGGGCTTCAAGTTGTCTTATCCATGAACCTGAGATCCATTGGAATTATCTCACGCTGTGAACAGCTTCTCAAGATCTGCTACATGAAGACTGAAAAGAGCCCTTACATTGTTTAAAACTGCTTGCAGCAGAAGTGCAGTGAACAGAGAGTAGCAAAGAGTTTTAGAGCGGTGCCCATTGTCTATAGGCATGCCTTATGAAGACGTAGGTCCTAGGTGTTTTTTTTTTTGCTCTTGCTCAGTTCTGATATTTGCACTAGAAGACCTCAACCTTGCTCAAGTGCTTTCTAACTGTCTTTAGAAATGTACAAGCTGGGACAGACTCTAGACCTACTTCCTCGGTCATTAGTTCTGACCTCCTCTATGCTTGGTGATGTCTGAAAAGGAGCACTTCCTTTATCCATGGGTGCTCTCTGTGTGTATTAGAACTCTAGAAAATCAGAGTTCTAGTTCAGATGGAGAGCCTCCACAGATAAAGGAGGCTCTCACCATCCATTTCCTTTCCCTCCATGTGTAGAGGATGTGGGTAGAGGGAGCAGGTAATAGCAGACAAGGTTTTGATTGCTCTGGATTTGATAGGATTCTGCCCCATCTTTTCTGTGCTCCTGTGTTCGCTTCAGTTTCCTACTTGGTGTTGGCTGTCGCTATGTGGAAGGCTTTCCCTGCTCCTGCTACATGCCATTCAGTGTAAGGGTTGCCCCACCTTTTTCATTTCCTTGGCTCACCAATTTATCACATGAAAAATTCATTTGCGAAATGATGATTCCTTTCCCCCACCCCCATCCCCATGCCTGTATTTGTAGTTGCTGGACAGAAAACAGTGAATACTGTGAGACGCTCTGATTTTCACTTCACATATACCAAAGGACAGGTAGAAGCAGTACTGCACAAAAGAGGATTGCCACTGTAATGGTCAAACCATTGTCTGGTTGCCAGATAGAAAAAAAAGCAGCTGCACAGTGTGGAAAAAAATTGCAATTGTCAGTGCAAACTCTGCGGAAATCAATGGCCCAGGTTATGGAGCAATTTATCCTGCCATGGCCAAACTGATTCCCTCCACTGCATATATGAATATCATTGCTCTGGGCCTGTCTTGGATGGTGTTGACGGAATGATTACTGTGGATCGAACAGTACCACTGTTCCGTGTATTGGTTTCTCTCTTCTTTTCATAGGGTGCAAAAGGGGACAGGGGCCCTATGGGATTTCCAGGAATGCCTGGTCGAACTGTAAGTTCCTTGGCCCTTTCCCCCATTTCATTTTTACTATACTGCCATGGTTTATACTCTGAATAACGGGATCTGACTTTTGCTTTACACAGGGTGATCCCGGGAGGAGTGGGAAGGATGGTATGCCTGGAAATCCAGGTTTCAAGGTATTTGGAATATTGAATTTATTCAAGTACGATAAGTAAAGTTGTATTGGGAATAGACTTGGGTTAGGAGAAATGGCTGAGAGATGGAGTTATTTCTGGTACAGAGTGGGAAGCAAAATTTTCAGTATATAAACCGGCATATACCCATGTTTGCATGTATTTATTTTTTATTGTCCTTGTGAATCAGACGTATGGCTCTTTTGCCTGCTTATGTGGACATGATTCCTGCACAAGGCTTTTACATCCTATTTCCTCTGCAATCCCAGAACAACTGGGTGGAGTTGTTAACTGAAGAAAGGGGAAAAAGAGTTCTCCATAAGTTTAACAGAGAAGAATGGTTCACATGATGCACATATTAATAGAAGCCACCAAAGAATACCATATGGGCGAGCCTCACTCCCTGCAAGCCACGTTTAGACATTTCTGCTGCATTGAAAGGCACTCTGCACATGCAGAGAATGTGAACAGAAATAAATATAAGTTCTTCCTTGCACATAACCTATGGGCCTGCTGTATTCACTCATTTTCTCCAGGCCCGTTATTAAGAAAGACCAGTGCTGTACAATTGTGAATGTGACTACTTGGGAGTAAGTCTTGTTGCATTCACTAGAAAACCTGCATTTGGAGTATGTCAGAAGGGCTGTATAATGTGCACATGAAGAGGAGGGTGTCTACAAAAAGCCCCTTTCCAATATACCCTGAATGCATGTTTCCCACTGAATGCAGTGAAGCTTCCGAGTAGTCACATTGCACACCATCACTCTTTCCTAATAATGGGTAGGCAGAAAATGAATGAGTAGACCCACAGTTTATGTACAAGGAACAAGAGCAGCTTGTGTTTACGTGGAGCTCTCTTTTATATCTTATACTGTCTTTTATTCAGTTCTGTTGGCTGCTATTGATGTCAGCTAAATACATTCTTCTGGCATCTTTCTTTTAGTTGTTATTAACTAATTATATTTTTTTTCTAAATCTTACTTCTTATATTTAATTAATTTTGATAAAATATTAATTACATTATCCCTTCACTCATACATGATCCTAATAGAGGGAAGGATGAGGATTTTACAGTACTTCTTTGTTTGGTTTAAATTATGAAAGTAGTGGTCACTTATGCTGGAGTCAAATTTTGTCAGCTTGGGTTTTAACATCTGCTCTTTATAAAAGATCACTTTACTTTGGCCTTATTGTAATCAAGATCAGAGCATTTTAATAAAAGAGGCATCTTTGGGAGCTTCTGCTAGAATCTTCTATATTTTCTTAGAAAAATTCAGAGACCTATTTATTCTTGGAAACAATAAGAAATAACTTTGCAGCACACCAAGCCCATTCTCTTAACAAAGGGCCTTTGTGCGGCCATGCACGCAGGGGTGTGCTTGTCTCCCTCCCTCTCTCCTTCCACTGATTCTGAAACGGCTGCAAAAATTTGATTCAGCAGAGCTCACCCTTGTTGCTGTAGACTGAGTCACATTTGGCACGGTCCGTGGAGCACAAGGCCATGAATGTTTCTGTGCTGCAGAATTTCCTAAAGGTGTTAGTCGGAGGACCCAGCAAGAGATGTTCCCTGTAATTATCTCTAGACTGCAGGACATTTCCGCATCTTCAGAGAGCCCACTGCTCACTTTTGCAGTGCTGCAGATGCCATGCTAGTTTTTTTTAATAACTACACATAGGGATCTGTTTTAAGAGCACGTACAGTACTCCTAGCCTGGAGCTCCTTCCTTTTCCTGGAGGAGGAGCAAATGTATACCTTAACCTCAGCTCCAAGATGAAAAACAGCTACCGTAAATGGTTCATCTTAAGAGGCCTTAACCGCTTGAGCCTACTAGCATCATAGCAACTGCAAGAGGCCACGATGAGGGGAGGAGTTTGCTGGGCCCTTCATTTAATTCCGTGCCACATCCTGAAAAAGCGAAGTGGCACTTCTGTCTCGGAGTGTATCTGCCCTACACAATTACAACTGCTGGGATTTGTCATTTGATGAGGTCCTTGCAATTATCTTCTAGAGAGCCCTAATACAACTGCAGTAGAGAAGTCAGGGTTTCTCATCAAATTACAGTTCCCAACACTCCAAAAGTGAAGCCATCACAGTTAAAGTAGAATCAAACGGATCCAGCTGTGTAATGTTCATATGCACTTGGTCTATGAAGAAGGGACCCAATCCACTGTTGAATGTGACTCTGCTTATGAAAATAACTTCTGATTCCCCAAGAAAAAAAATTCCTTAGCCTACGTAGCCTTTCTTTCTTGGATTTTGCATCTTTCTTGTCCTTCTTGAAATTCATTAGTTTTATACACATGGGCAATTAAATTAAGCCTCTTAAGAATGGTGTGTGTTTGTGTGTGTGTGTGTGTGTGTGTGTGTGTGTGTGTAGCATAATGAACTTTAGCAGAGACCTTTCATCCTTTTAGATGATGATGCGGTGGGGGGCACATAACAACTGGGAAATCACCCAATATTGATTTCATGGCGATGAGATTGTGACCCTCTGGGACAAGATTCAGAACTTGTCAAAGGTGAATTTTAGCCCTAAAACCCGAGATTCCTTGATACTCTACTGGATCCAACATGGTTTTCACCTGGGAAAAGTGTTCAAATTTATTTAATGATATTTTTAAAGATCAAGACAGCAATATCTATAGTCACCACCAGTATTTGGAATCCATCTTAATAATATTTTGGACTTTTGGATTATGGAAAGTAGGGTCATGATCCGGGGAGCTGTGTTTGTAGGGGTGTCTCTACGCACACGTGAGCATGTCTATAGTAAGTCAGTTGTTTCTAGCTTATGACACCCTGCCATTTATGCTACCTCATGAGCCATTCCAGAAGATTCTGCTTAACGTTCAGAAGCAGCTTTGGCAGAAGGGATGAGAGGCTACATTAAAGGAAACCTTAAGGCATAACTAGAAATTTCAAAGCAGCTGTGTCGATTGCAGGCAAGGTCTGCTATCCAGATGTGTACTTGAGGGTTTCAGCAATGGTTTGTGATGGTGGGGTGGGGGTGGGTGAAAACTGCACACAAGTTTTCCAACAGATTTTGTATATTAACCTTGTTTTCTTTTATGAAATAAGATTCTAAAAGAAAATCATTTTACCCCAATTCTGTACTGTCAATCTTAAGGGAGAAGATGGACAGCCAGGTGTGATGGGACCACAAGGAAGACGAGGAGATCCTGTAAGTTTTTCAACAAGTTATGCTTTGCTTTGTGCTCCTCTCTTGAGGAGCTTCAGGTTTGGGGCGGATGAACGGCATTTGTAGAAGTGTGGCATCCAGTGCTTCGAGACCATCTGGTTCTCGAACAGGATGGGTGATTTCAAGGTTATGAAATCTGCTTTGTTTTTCTACAAATCCACCTACTAGAATGAAAAAACAAAAACAAATCAGAGGGGGAAATACACAATAACAATAAAGCAACAGGGAGTTGCTGAGCACGTGGGGAGCCCTGGAGTTCTTTTTCAGCATAAAAAAAATGAGCACTACATTCTTTTTACATAAAAACCTGCAAGATCTCTTAATTTCAGCTGTATTTTTGTTTTCTTTTTACGTTTGTTGTATTGTTAAATAATGGGGGTTTAGAGAGCCGTCCCTATCTGCCTCTGCAGGTTGCCCAGAGATTTACCAATGTGTCAGTTTCTCTAGGGGCATGGACAAATTCCAGGTTTCTAGAGTGTAGTTTTTACCCCCAAGATTTGTCACAGATCCTCCTCCCACTGCAGAAACTGGAAGTGGTGAGATATCTACTTTTAGTTTTGTTCTTAAAAAAACCACACCTTCTATTTCAATGGAGTAAAGTGCTGGTTGGGAGCATGTTGTTTCTCAGGACACTTGGAGGTACAGCAATTCTCAATTTTTTACCATATTTTTTTCCTCTGTGGAATAGGAGGAAAATGTTAGTAAAAGGGGTAGAGGGTGGAATTACTGCGGGTGGTATACGTAATTCAACAATGTGCATAAGGATTCTTGGTCTTCTTTAACCTTGCATAGAGAGACGGTGTGGTGTAGTGTTTAGAGCACTGGATTAGGACTTTAGAAAGCTGCATTTGAATAACCACTTGGCTCTGAAATTGCTTGGTGGGCCTCAGGCTTCTTACACACCCTCGGCCTGACCTCTTAAGAGTTGTGGGAATAAAAATGGGTCAGAGAAGATCCATGTAACCTGCTTTGAACTTGTCAGAAGAAAAGCAGGATGAAAATGTAACAAAGGAACAAACAGATAACATCTGTCCAGGTCGTACTTTGACCACCTGAGCTAGTGTTTGGTTTAAAATTACGGCCCAGAATCCCTTCAAAATAGTGGCTGTCCTTTGAAGATGCCAGCCATAGAGACTGGCGAAACGTCAGGAAGAACAACCTTCAGAACATGTTCAAACAGCCCGAAAAACCCACAACAACTGTTTTGTTAGTATCTGAGCAGTGCTTTGAACACAAGTGGACCTATTTTTGAGTAAAAATCCTAGAATGCACTGTAATTCTGTGTGCTTCAGAGCGTAAGAGCTAAGGAAATTTGCTATGTAATGAGGTAAAAACCCTAGTCAGGCATTCAGTAGAAGGGTTAATCTTAGCCTACGAAGCAGTCTGCCCTACCCTGTACTAAATCTAAAGTGGAGAGCATTCCCTGTGCCATAAGAAAATTTGAAAAACCAGATTTCCCAGTTGCACACAGGCTGCTGTCCTCTTGAAATGTAGCTCTCCTTGCACACAAGAGCAAGGATGCAGGGGATTCACCTGCTCATTCTACTTGCGGATTCGCCCTTTCGTTGAATGCCTGGAAAGGGCCGATCTATCCCTTGATGCATACTTTAGACATAACTTGGAAGAATGCCTTTGCATTGTGAAAAAAGAGAGAGAAAGAAATAAAGAAATGCTGAGCCTCCAATTCAAATGAATAGTGTGCCAACATAAATGACCCCAGAATTGCTAGACTGTATAAACATGGCGAGCAAGGAATCTGGAACCTGATTAAGTTTTGCTGATTAGATTTTGGCTAGTCAGTAGTTCCTGGGTCCTCGGTCTGGAGCTGGCAGTGATGGTCCTCTACATTTGTTTTGGTTCTTTTTTAAAAAAAAAAAACTTTTATTATTACTCATACATAAAAAACATACAAAGCAACAAAGTAAGACATAACAAAAACAACAAAAGACAGTAAAAACTAAACATCTATACTACATATATAGATCAGAGATTTCACCATCGTCATCTAATAGCATCAACAGGTTCTTGTAAGCACTGGTTCACCATGATCATTTATTCCCCTAAAGTCCTGTCTTCCTGGGCCCAGTTATGTATCCGCTCCAGCTTTCCTTCACAAAGTATCACTCTTGATCCCGTATTGCCTCTGAAAGCATATCTAGTTCTGCAATATCCAGTAGCTTCTTTAATAGCTCATCCACCAGTGGTATTTCTTCATTCTTCCATTTTTGGGCCCAGAGTAACCTGGCTGTTGTTTATATATATATATAAACAACAGAAAATTATAATTATCTTTCCACATTTTTGTTCCAATATTATAACCAAAGTTTTGTTCCCATTTGACTATCACCACCTTCACCCTCTCAATAACAACATTTCAGGTTTAAAACTTAGCTTTTCCTGGACAATTTCCTGTCACATTTGCCAAACCTGTAACCAGGTTTTTTTTACTTTTTTACATGACCACCATACATGATAATAAATTCCTGGATTTTTTTTTTACATTTCCAACAAACATTGCTCTTCTGACATTCTGACATTTTTGCCAATCTTACCGGAGTAAATTGCCATCTATAAAACATTTTAAGGATGTTTTCTCCAAGATTAACTGGAGAAAATTATAATTATCTTTCCACATTTTTGTTCCAATCATCAATATTAATATTATAACCAAAGTTTTGTTCCCATTTGACTATCACCACCTTCACCCTCTACCTTCATACCGCCACCTTCATACTCTGGTAGATATGTATACATTTTTATTATTATTTTCTCTCTTGTTACAGAAAGTTCATCCCCTTGAACTTTCCCCTCAAAAAAGCTCACATTTTTGTCCTTGTAATATCTTAATTCTAATTTCAACACTGACCACCAATCTGTTGATAGACCCAGTCTCTCTAAATCTTGTTTATTTTTCAGTGTTTGACCTTAATTTTACAAGTCTTTATATGTGAGTAGAACTCACTCCTGGCTTAACACTTTCAATGTTTTGTTCCACGGTTCTGATCAGCCTTTGCCAGCATAACCAGCAGTGAAAGATCATAGGAATCCCCGCCCCCCAAAAATCTGGAGAGCCACAGTCAGGCTTAGTATGAAAGGTAAATTACAGTGGTGCCCCACTAGACGCTTACCCCGCATGACATCGAAATTGCTTGATGATCACATTTTTGCGACCCAAAACTGAAGTACACTTGGGAAGAGAAAATTGGGTCAGGAGAAACATACAATACCTTCCTGTGTCCAAAAATTTCTGCAAGTAGGAGACACTTGAGGAACATGCTTGGATAGCAGTCTACATTTTTATTTATTGCGCTGACCTCAACCATAGTTGGTGCCAGGAAAATCAGTGCTTTGTATTCCTTATAAACAAACAATATTCCACATCTGCCAATGAAGGAAGATGCTTCAGCTCTTGAAAAAAAAATGAAAAATCGGTTTGTCTGTTAATCTGTTACTCTCTCTGTGCTTCTAAAAAAGGTGAGATATAAATTCCGAGAGGTAACTTAGTTAGGTAAGTTGCCCCATTGACCCTCAGATGCTCCTTCTCAACCATCTTGCAAAAGAATTCCTACAGTACAATGCTTGGTTTGTATGGAAAACAGAACTGTTACGGAAGGTAACTGGGCCTCTGAAATTTAGAGGCCTCCTGGAAGGCCGTGATTCTGCCCAGCCCAAAGCATGTCTACCACCTTGAGTGGTTCTTTGCTGACCAGGTGGGCTTAGAACAGGGTCAATATGGCTGCTAGGCACTCAGGTGTTCTTTCATATCCCTCTGTCTGCTTTCAATCTATGTTTGCCTTGTGTGACCCAAGCTTTATCAGGAGGCTGATGAATTCTCGTTCAGCTGGCTTATATGGGAATCTGTCTTCAGCATTCCTTTGCTCAAGCTATGTGTCCCTGAGGCTGGACAGAGTGTCCTGGGAACTGATTCATAATTATGGGCAACAGAACCTAAGTAAACTTAACCACATTTTAATCCCTATAAATTATTAAAATAACAAACACTAATTAAATTTAACGGAAGACTTAACCATCTGTCTTTAGGTATGCCCTAGAAGTGGTGAGACATTTTTCATTGTTCCTGCTAAATTCAGTGAAACTAAATTGTAGCTGGACTGTGTCCATGTTTTTTTTTTTAAATATATATTTTATCTGATTCAGAAGGATGTCAGACTAGGAAAATGGACTAGATGTGCCATGAGCTGTGATGGTAGACAGAGATTGGTGTTAGCTAAGAACATGGAGAAATACAGTGATCAGAAGGGATATAATAAAGATACAGTGAAGATCCATTCTTTACAAAGCTGTTGCTTAACTTTTTGACCAGAAAATAGAGATCTAAAATGTCCCATTTAGGTATATTTCCACAAGGCATGTTTATGCCTCGCTGTTCCTACAGAAGAGTGCTTCCCAACCTTGAGTAACCCAAGTGTTCTTGGACTGCAGCTCCCAGAATCCCCTGGCAGCACAGCTGGTGGTGAAGGCTTCTGGGAATTGCAGTCCAACCTGAGTTACCTAAGGTTGGGAAACATTGTTGTAGAAGATCTTTCTGAAAGGAGAGAGGAAGGAAAAATTGGACAGCAAACTAATATTTTTCCTTTGTTTGCCTTTGGGGAATTAGTGGCTGGATACAGTTAATTCTACAAAGGACTTCCCCAAAGAAAATCCCCTCCCCATCTATGAATCATGAATTATTCCGTGCAGCTTTTGGATTACTCCCAGAGAGTGGCGCCTGGCCCATTTGCAGTGTTTCCAAAATTCTGTTAAACCCTTTGTGGTTTAACAATTGAGTGAATAATCTGTTCTGTATTAGTGTATGATTAAGGACAAGCATTCCTTATCATTCAAGTGCAGTCCTTACACAAATTGGACATTTATAATACAGATTGAATTTCACAAACATTATTGCAAGACTCAGGGAAGTGCAAAACTTTCTGATCACTCAGAAATAGTATCGTGACTGTTTTATGTAATGTCTGCCTTTC